ATGTGTAGTTATTATGCGTGTTTTTGTATAATTAGTAAAAACAGGTGTCCGGATACTTTTGTCCAGGGAGTGTATATATAATTATTTATTGTGATGTTAAATTAATTATAGTTGTGACAAAATGTGATAAAATAAAAACCTTTGTTAATAATCTCTTTTAAACCAAGGTTTAAAATGAATGACTTTCCAATACAATAAAATGCTGCATTATTTTTCAGGATATCCAAAGTTAACACTGTGGTATTACATATATATAAAATATGTGTTAATAATATTTATATTAATAAAATAGTAAAAAAATTTTTTGTCAAATATACATATATATATACACATACATCAAAGACATACAAACTGCATCACTGTTTAATTTCTTATCAACCAATCTCAAAGTTGATACATGTTTTATGATTGCAATTAATGCAACATGATCAGGATGATGTGTTATTTCTTGTAATAATGCATAAGAATATGATTTATTATCTGCATGAAGGTAGGTTTAAATTTCATAGTTAATAAATTAATTTGTTCAATGGAAAAAAAATTTTTCAAGATCTTTCAAAAATAAAAAAATTCTAATAAAAAAAATACCATCATTTTTCTTTGCAACATATAAAACATTTACTTGAGGATTATTAGCATAATTGTCAAGTTTCTCAAGTGCTTCTGGCTTGTTCCATAATATATCTTTTAAATCTTGCTCTTCAGCAGCAAGTAATATAGGTAAGAGAAACTAGAGTGATGACAAGTGGTGGACAATAACCACCACCACCATCCTTAAAACACTTACTCGTATGTATTTTTTGTTATGGTTTGTTTGCTTCTTTTACTTTTTTTATCATCAAACAACATCTTGACAAATGAAAAAAAAAGTTTGTGGTTGATCAATGCATACATACTAATTATTTATTAGTTTTTTTTTGGTAGGACAAACGCAAATTGATTTTTTTTTATTTTTTGACAAAGTCCAAGGTGACAAAACGTGAGTGTTGTTGTTTAGTTTGGTTTGGATCTCCTAAAGAGAATGTGTTAATAACTAACCAGAGGTACTTTTTTTTACTTGTATTGATTGATAATTTTTATTTTAGTTTATAAACATTTTAATTGGAATTCAAAATGTGGAGCAGATCCTGCTGGGTAATTACAAGATTTTCATTGATAATATTTTGCTTTTGTAATCATTAATAATATTAATTATATTATTATAATTACAAGATGTCAAGGCAATACACTGTTGAAAAAGAGACATTTTGAGTATGCGATGTTTGATTACAGGAAAATAGCAGGTGTTGAAGCACGCACGCTACCTTGAACAAATTACAGCCATTCTCACTCATCTTCCTCATGTACATAAGGCTAATCTGACCTGCTCCCTCTGATGCAGTGTTGGCAATGACAGTTATTTAACTTTTGAACTGTCAGTTAAATAACCAGTTCAAAAAATCATTTGAACTTGTGAACTTTGGTTCAATGACATAAATTGATTGATTTATGTGC